GCACTTTCATGCGGTGGATAGCACATTTCTACACAGACTTTTCAACCTTTGTTTACAATTAGCAGTTTTCCAGCACAATGGAAGAGAGCTCGGGTTGTTTTGATTCCTAAAACGTTAGATACAAGAACCCCTTATCTTGATAATATTAGATGCATTAGTCTTTTGCCTACTTTGGGAAAATGTCTTGAAACTCTCTTCATTAACAGAATAAATTGGTATTTGAGACAAAAATGCTTTTATAATGATTCTCAGTTCGGATTTACTCCTCGGAAGTCCGCTGAAGACGCCATTATTCGCCTTTGTAATATCTTGCAGTGTGCAAAGAAAATGAAGTATACTACACTTCTTATTTTCCTGGATTTCAAAGGAGCTTTTGATAATGCTTGGTGGCCATCTATCTTAAAAATTTTAAAAGATGCTGGTATACCACATAATATCTATCTATAACCTTCTTAAAAGCTTCTTGAACGAGAGGACTGCTGAGCTTCAGCTTGGGAACGAAGCTAAGGTTTATTCTCTAGAAAAAGGCTGTCCTCAAGGCTCTGTATCCGGACCTACTCTTTGGAACATAATCATAAATGGATCTTTTAAGTCATCTCGACGGTTGTTTAAAAATTGCGTTTGCAGATGACTTACTATTAATTTTCCAAGGAAGGATTTTGAATAACATTCTTTTGAGAGCACAAGAAGTTCTAGATTTTGTCTCCAGTTGGGCGATTTCTCATAAACTCACTTTCAATCTTTCAAAAAGTAAAGCTATGCTTGTTCCCAGTACGTTTCATGAACAAAATATTGCTTCTTTGATGCTCGATAATTCTCTGTTGGAATTTATAGAAAATGTTAAATATCTTGGTGTCACATCCTGTATTAATTGTCTCCTAAGAAACATGCATTTCCAGTCAGTCTCAGAAAATCACCCTCCTACAGTACATTTTATCCTATCTTTCTGATACTATTTAAAATCAAAATAAAATGAATAAAAGATTGGAAAGAGCATCAGATTGCGGTCTACTAAAGAGCTTACCATTAAAAATTTCAAGATATTGGAAAAATATTAAAGCTTTAAAATTGTGAAACAAAGTTAAAAATTAAGAATCAAATTATCTTATACCAATTAATTAATGATATACCAATTAATTCCACTAATCAATTAAAATTATGACATTAGAAATGTCTTATATTAGTTACAACAAAGTGCAAATATTCATAAGAACTAAAAAAGTGTAAAAAAAAATTAAATTCTTAAGAAGTACATTTATTGCTTTTAAAACATTTACCATGTTAAATGACAGTTTGCTTGTATTTTAAAATTAAAGTTTTTATCCTTTGACGAATGAAACGTCTATGCGTGACGGGGCGAAAGGTGGGTCTTTTTCTTTGCGCAAAGGAATATATTGCTTTTATATCTCTCAATTTATAAAAAGCAGACTGATTCAGCTCACTGAGAATCTGCAAATTATATGTGAATGACTGTATAAGTTAGGCAAAAACCATACATTTCCTTTGAGGTAAAAAAACAACAAGCATATCATATGAAAAAAATCTGGTTATTCCTTTCCTTAGATGGAGTCATCTAAGTCAAGTGCATTAATGATAGAGTTGCTTAAGCCATGAAATACTGATAGTATGCAGCGAGTTCGATTTGTAATGATTTTGGTAAGCTCTGAACTGCATAGGATCCCTCAGTGTGTTGTATAAAAAAAGTCCTTTACCCTTATAAATTCCCCACGAAGCCATGTCTTCCTTTAGACAGAGACCTTTGTTCCTTCTACCTTGTTCCTTGTACCTTCCTAGTTAATTTAATTGATCAGTACATCCGTATTGGTTAGGTTAGGTGATTTGAATATAGCAAAGCGCACAAGAGATATCCAACTAAGGGGTGAGATGCATTTCGTGGAGGGCTTTCTAAAGGAAACAAGCTCGTATTCACGTTACACATAGGAAAATCACCAAAAACGACCATGAATACAGCCCGTTCACTTGCACTCAAAAGATTCAGCGATTTAACCACTCTGCTACTGGTGCGACACTTCCATATTATATTTTCTAAGGGATTTGTTAGCTTGCATTTATAATGTTATTTATAACTGTTTATAGGTATGCCTCTTCTTTTTTTTTTTTTTTGCCTTGAAAACGGCTGTTGTATTTTTAATTTGTGGCACTGGAAAGGGCTTTTTTTTTAAAACTCAGATCAATCCTGCAAAGGTTATAACAAGTAACAATATTGTTATCGTATTTATTAGGAAAATGACCTCCGTTAATTGACAAAAACATTCATTCCGATAATCTTAGTGGTACTGTTTATTCAGGTATATGAGGTTTTCCAGCTTTATAAGGTTGAAAATTATACACATACTTCGAAGATGAAGCAGAATACCATAACAATTGCTTTTTTCTCCTCCTGGTCAGTGAATGAGCCTTAATTGCTTTTCTCGTCAAGAGTGGGGTGAGCTCGGAGTTGCTGGAATTTGCAGTTTCGCCAATAATGCCAAAAAAGGAGGATGTCTTCCTGCTGGTCATTGAATGGTTGACACGATTTAACAAATTTTTAAACAAAAAGCTGGACACAACGTAATCTATCGTTTCACACATTTTTTCTTTCCGTTCTCTTTGTTCAACAGTATTCATATATCACAACATAAATTTTACAATATTACTTCTCGAAATGGTAGAACTATATTCTATGGCGGACACATACACTTTCTACTATATCCAGTGTTCTCAACTTAGGTTGACCTGAAGTATAGTGCAGTGTGATAAGGATGCCCATTATCCTCCATTAGCAAGATGTAAGTATCAGTTGCATCTCTAAATAACTTGACATAAGTATTGGAAACCTAATCCCTGTAAATTTCAGCTTTCGAAATTGCATTGGTAAAAATGTGCAGGGCAGTGCAGTCATTCAAAATGATGCTTGTACATACAGAGATTTCATCGGCTTTGTATTGATGCCCTTTGCAGACGTTTTCAGGCATACTCATGATGCTGCCTCCAGATTGTGGCATGTCAGAATCACTCTCCAGACAAAAATGACTCATCAATAAACAGAAATTGACTCTAGTCCAAAATTTCTGCAACATAGCACTTATGCAAATTTGCATCTGAAATTATTGGAACAGAAGTCATGGGTTTCTTTGCATACAGCTCTCTTTCATGTCAATTTTTAATAGCAACACTGAACTCCACTGCAATGTGGGGACATCAGGTGTCTACTTCAATCGTTGCCAAATAATTGTTCTGAGAGTCTTTGTGGCATATTTTCGAATTTGATCTGGCTGTCAGTATGCATCACAAGTAATTTTAAATTGTGTCCACATTCTTGATATGAAACATTTGGTTACTTTTAGGACTTTGACAGCCCGGTGGTGAAGTGGCTAACGCGTTGCGCAGCTGGACCACAGTGGCGGGGTTTGATCTTCGAATTAGGCAAGGTTGACTCAGCCTTTCATCCCTTAAGTAGGTCAATAAAATGAGTATCACGTTCGCTTGGGGACTAAACACCAGGGGTCGGGGAATATGCTGATGCACTCCAGGGCTCAAAGATCAAGAAAGCAGGAAAACAGCACAGCAGACCGTGGCCCACTAGGGCTGTTGTGCCACTGAGTTTAGTTTAGTTTTAGGACTTTGCAGACCTGTGTCAATGTCCATGATGCTTTCATTCTCTCAATTACATGTCATTTGCCATAATCTGTTAGATGATTTTTCAATGACATTTTTACATTCCATATACTAAAATTTGATCCAGCTGCTTATGTAACCTAAAATCAGAAGCTGCAGCACCTTCTTTCAAGCCTTTTTATACATGCTAAAAGAACTGGCCCAAAAACTTGCATATTTTTGTGTAGAAGGTGAATGTAGTTGGGCAATGTGATAAGGTTTGAGCTAGTAAACACATTTCATTGGATTTAAATATTATCTGGCTACTCGAAATTAGAATTTGAAGCATCACTAAACCCAAGTACCAAAAGAAAAAGTACAAAAATTTGCACCGTGTCGGGAAGGCCAATCTTATTGCACTAGTATGTGATAACACTAACCTTGACACCATTATCAACCAACTACCTTTTATTTGATTTTACTTGACAGAGTTAAGATTAAGCATCTTTCTATGTATGTTCCTTTGATTTTTTACACCACTATGCTTCGATGTTCACTTGTCACTAAACATGACTTTCCTATTCAATTATTATTTTTTTTAAAGGGCATAGAAATGACTTTTATCACTACTGAGTTAAGATGATCAAGCAAATTTTTGGATGGCTAGCAGTAAAAATAGCTTTGAATCAGGGTCATCACACTAGTCTTATCCTATTACCATCTTGTTGTGAGACAAATTCCTATCCATGATGCTATTTTTATTCACTTTAATGTTTGATGGCCTACTCTGGTTCACACGCATTTCAAAATTTTACCTAATCTGAGATGGTGCCACATTATGTTAGAAGGAACAAGATTTTTCCTGTTAATTACGACTCATGTTTTCTCTTTTCTGCAAAGAATAACTGTCATTTTACTGAAAGTTCCATTTTCTATTTTGTAGAATTTGCCTTATTTTTATTCATGACTCATGAGATTACTTGATGGCATAGAAGCAAAATTCCCTTTGAAGCAGAATAGCTAATGAAGGATGACCTAAGTTCTATTAAATTCCTATCTTTCAGTTTCATTTTGAAAAAAAAAAAAAAAAAAAAAAAAAAAAAAAAAAAAGGCCTTTCTAGGAAAACAAGCTAGTAATTATGTTATGAATAGTAATATATATAAAGATGACATGCAGCCTATATATTCAATCACTGGGAATGAAATGGAATGCAAAATGAAATAGCAATGAAAAATGGTTTTTAATAAGATTGATACAGCAAAACACTAAGGATTATTAATAAAGAAAATAAAATAATTATGATAGTCTCCTTTTATAATTAATCTAAAAGTATTGCACCATATATAAATGTGAAAAATACAATATAAAAATTTTTTTAAAGTCTACTATGTATAATACTCACTTTCTGAAAATTCTTTTTAACAGCTTCTGAAACACCCGATGAATCTATATCCTTTTTATCGAGTTCTGTTTCAGGCACTGCTTTGGACGCATCTGTAGATACTTGCTTATGAACTGTCACAAAATATTTAAGATAAAGAATTAAAAAGTTGCTACCATGGGTTTAAAGAAAAAATCTACTAATTTTTTAAAGAGGCACACCAGCAAGTTTTAAATTAAATTCTTAATATCAATTTTAAAACTTTGAGCAAAAATACAGTTTATGTGTTAGTAAATCTAACTTATTTTACAAAGTTAACCAATATCAGTTTCATTAATGCTGCTGATACTCCAAAGATGATTTTGGCTAAAGAGGATTGAAAATTATGAAAATATACATGAATCAGAAATGATAATATGGTCAATGATCATATATCTTTTATTAAATGAAAATAACTGCAAGATGTTCATAAAAATTATTTAGTAAGCAGTTATACAATTTAGTGTGATTTCAAATAGTTTTATCACTTGCATATTATAAATAATTAAATATAAAAGTGCTGTTCTTTAACATAAAAAAATAAGGCAAATTCATTATTTATTATAATGAGCACATCATTTAATGCAAACAAAATGTTACATAATATTTTAATATAATATAATCAAAATAATATATAATCAAAATGAGCCCATATAAGATATTTTTCAATTTAAGTCAACAATAGACAGAAGACGAGTCTCAATATATCACAGTATGGTGGCTACTCTACTACTTAAAACACCTATATCAGTGTGTAAGTCGTGCACAGATGATTCAGCACTTGCACAGTATGGATTTCGAAGCGGGGACCACGAAGTTTCAGTGGTCCCTTGATTTCTCAGAGTCGGGTAGGCCTCATTGCCAGAGTAGCATGACCCATCCGGGACAGATGAAAATAATGCAAATTCATTATTAATTATAATGAGCGAATCATTTAATACAATCAAAATGTTTACAGAATGAATTTTTTTTAAATAAAAATGGTCCAGATAAGATATTTTTCAGTTTAAGTCAACAATGGACTAAATCTAATCAATTGCATTTGTTTATTATTTTGAATACTTTTACTAGTGAATACATGTCAACAATGGACTAAATCTAATCAATTGCATTTGTTTATTATTTTGAATACTTTTACTAGTGAATACATATATAAGAAGCATATGATTTGAACTGATAAATTTTTTCTGCTAACATGTTGTTTCACTCATATGCCCCTATTTCAGACAAGTAAGCTATTTTGAATATTCTCTACCAGATTTAATACTGAGAAAAAGATGTACAATATTTTGCTCTTTTACACAGAAAGTTGCAGATTATTCAACTTTGGTCAGTACCTTATTTATAAAATCATTTAACTTTGAAGAATAATTTCCAAATGGTTGCATTAAATTTGGAGTCATAAAAAAACCTTTCTACGTCTCTAAAATGTATACCAGAATAAAGAGATGAGGGTAATGATTTTTTTCCATATCTTATATACATTTTTTAAATACCATTTTTAACAATAAAAATAATTTAATAATTTTTTTATAATAAACATAAATACACTATATTGATGCAACACTCAAATTCATTATTAAATACTAAATTTATCAACTTACCTGCATTTAAATTTTTCTTTTCAGGACTACTGAATAAATAATAAACCTTTGTCAAATTACCTACAGAGCGTAACTCTACTTCCGAAATAACATTTAGCATTTTTTCTAAACTATCCAAACCATTTTCTAATTTCAAAAACTTGTTATACATCTTCTTGTATGCTAGAAGAAGAGATGGTAGAGTAATACCATCAGGATATAATTTAAGCAGTTCAATTAGTTCTGCTTTTAAAGGAGCTGGTACAAATGGCTTACTATAGCTGAAGTTATTCATTACACTTTTTTGCAGATAAAATTTTTGAAAAACATGAGGTTTTCTCATTTGATATGGAAAATTTCGATTAATTTTTGGTTTGTTTTGCTTTTGGTTTTGAACAAGTTTATGAATGTGTACAGTTGATTCATCAGCAATTACAGAAAGCTGATACATGCCACTCTGGTCCATGAAAAGTTGCACAACATCAGACATAGACTGTAGGAAATCTATATCCGTATAATAGCCAAACTCCCGTGATGGAAATCTCCTACCTATAAGTGCTTTGTAGGTTTTAATAAATTCTGCCAAATTAACGCCATTTGGGTAGGTAATCAGAATGCTTCTAACTTCTTTCTTTAATTCATCCAGTTTTGTTTCTCCCATCATGGCTGAAATACATTCAAAATTAACCAATATAACAAAAATTAATCATAATTCAATTTTATAACTTAGACTACATTAAGTACTCTTACTGTGAAATATTCACAATAAATACAACCAAAGAAACATAATTTTTTTTTACTTAAAAAAAATTATGTCTTTACATTGTCTTTGCATTACACTGCATAGTTTATACTTATTTTTTATATGTATTTCATTGCTGAGTCAGCTGGGTATACCAGTAGCTGAGTTTCTGGAACAATTTCTTGTTCATATTCTTTTTCCTTAATATCACTCTCTATATATATATCAGGGGTGACCACAGCTCTCACAGGCGATTAGTGTGGCTCTTATACAAATAATATATATATGAAATATGGTAAATTAAAGCTACTCCATGCCCCCCAAATGTAATTATTCTATTTAATTTCTAGTTTATGTAGTTATTAAGAAAAACTGATCAATGTCTAAAAGCAATTTATTTATTTTATTTTTCATTTGCTAAGAAATTTAATAATGTTATTCAAAAACATAAAAAATAAATAAATAAAAATATTACATTGATTCTATGAAAAATTTTGTAAAGGAAATTTTTAAAAGTTAGATTTGCTAAAAGATGCTTTATGATTGCATAGATGGATGCTTTATAGGAAGGATCTTCTGAATGATCCAAGAATTTAGAAGTTGATTCAATACCCGACTTAATGAGAAATTTATGACAATTGGAAACTCATGAAGTTGATGAAATTAAGTCTGAATTATATACAGTAAAAAGTCCGAGATCCGGACATCCAATATCCGGACCTCAAAACCACCAACATTTTTACATCACCACCCAAATATTTTTTTTTATATTAGTAATTTAATAACAAATAGTATGGTAATCTTTTTTGTTGACATTACAGTTGGCAATGATTACAGATTTAAGTTAAATGCACTAAAAATGTTGACGAGAAAAAATTTACCCAAAATTTTTTTCCCATATGCTAAAAATAGATATTATTGATGATACTCATAGACCTAAAGATTACATTTAGGGCTATTTGAATTAAGAATAGAGACTGTATTGGTCGGTAAGATATCTAGTGGCGGCCCTCAATAATGCTTAAGTATATTTGGGAATTTTTTTTATTCAGAACCCGATAACCATTAAGCATGTGCAATAAATACCCATAAGTATAATAAATAACTAAACTAATATAAATCAGGCTTAATTGTCTCTGCACGATAGAATCAAGATGAAATTTAACGGAACAACTTGTCGTTAGTCCCCAAGCTCATGATGCATAGCCAAATATATATAGTGAAGGATAGCTAAATTTTATGAATATAGCTGCTAATTTTAAAGGTTTTTGGATATCACAAAACAAAGGTGAAATTTTCCAATTAACAGATTTTGTACAGAAATGTGGAGAAGCGGCAATAAATGAAGATGATATAAAAGAAATTTTTATATCATGAATATGGTGAAATCTGTAGTATGGTTCTAGATCCAGAAAATAGTGCTACCGATTGTAAAGAAAGTGACGGAGAAGTTACTGAGAACGAGAAAATTTCGATTGACAAGTTAGTTGGAATTCTCGAAACAGCAGATACAGGACTTCAACAATGTAACTAAACAAGAGATTATGTCTATCTACAAAATTAAAGAGAAAGTATTCGCACAAAAAAATGAAGCAACTTAAAACAACTTCATTGAAAGAAATGTTTAAATGTAAACAAATAAATTTTAAGCTTTTTTTTTATTTGTAAATTTTGATACCCTTTAGATCATAAATACTTCATTATTTCATAAATCATGATTTCCTATTTTTAATTTTATAATTTCTACATGCCCTCTTACTAGATTTAAACTGATGATCTATTATCCGGAAAAATCCCAAATCCGAATCGCTGAAGTCCCGACGAGCCCGGATTTCGGACTTTGCACTGTATTATACTACGCAAATGTTGTTGTTGTCTTGTACTTCATAGATAAGTGGTTGTCAGAGTCTTAAGGAGGTTGGACTTCCCTTTCCACCCCAATTTTGAAGAACAACACACTGGAGGGGGAGGTGATCCGAGGGTCTTCAATCCTCTCCCCTACCACCAAACCCCATGTGAGGACTTTCGGCTCACCATATATTTAGAGTGCCCCCATGCCGCAGAGACTACATTTATAAACATCGATGCCTGGATTCTCTTATGTAACATATGTTACTAGAGTTATATTTAAAGCTAAAAGGGATAAAAACTGACCTCAAAGTGAAGCATCAATTCTAAAGCAACGAACCATAGAAGTTTCCCCATTAATTCTCAGGGATTCGAACCCTGGTCCTTTGGTATCGCAGTAGGCTCCTCTATACACTATATCATCTGGGTGATACATAAACAAATGATGCAGTTTTTAGAACTGAAATTCTTTCCGAGTCAGTAGTAGTAAATGCTATTTTTCACATAAGAACAGCTGTAAAATACACGTGTAATTGTTTTTAAAGAAATTTTAAAACTTAACTCTTTCTTGAAGTATTAGAATGTATTCTCCAGACTACAAAATTTAAATAAATAAATAAATAATTTTTTAAATTGCTAATTTAATTTGTAAAATTATTAGCAGTATTTAAGCATTTATTTATTAGTAAAATCTCCATTCTCTCAGGCATTTCTTTTCACTTTACTCAAATTTTACTGTATCTATTAACTTATAAACACTCTTATACCACCAAAAGATTAAATTTTTTTCTTTGAAAAACCAGTTGATGCCAATGTTTAAAAATAATTTGTGATTGCCATAATAATTAAACATTCTGCAGCATAATTTTGGTTTCAGAGAGAATTGAAAAAGCTAAACAGGAAAAAAGTAGGGACGAAAATTAAGGCACTGGATCATCTTATGTAACAGATGTTACTATAGTTATTCTAACCTAAAAGGTGTAAAAAATTGACCTCGAAGTGAAGCATCAAGTCTAAAGCAACGACCCATAGTTGTTTCCCCATTAAACTTGCAATATATTCAAAGCATGCAAATGTTATTTGGCTAAAAGGAGGCATTTTTTTTGTTTTTCCCACAGTAGTCTTTCTATGGAAATGGGGCCTATATTTACATTACCCTATTGCACACTAGTGGATTCAAAAAGATAGCTCACCAGGATTGTCTGCTGTTGTTAAAGTTATCAGTGCTACTGTGGCACTTGGCCGATGATGGGGTGTTGAGCCTAGTAACATGATTGAAATAAATTATATCACCATTCAGTTTTACCATTTCCGGTTTCAAATTCCGGTGTTAGAATCACTGTTGTTGTAAAATTACAACAGCTTTTCTTTATTTTACCGTATATCATACACAATCGTATCGCAATTCCATACGATTCTGCTATAAACCAAGGAGTAGCACCTGTCTCTACCTTTTGCAGATTTTGTACATTTTGCATTACCATCAATGCACGTGTTTACGTTTTTCAACATTGCAAGCAGTAAAATCATGAGTGCGTTTCTAATCTGTAATTGTATTAAAAAGAGCTGAAATTAAAAATATTCTTAATTTATCCACAAAATATCCGAATAAAAAAAAGGCAGCACTAAATAATCTCATGAAATAACAAAGCTCAGAAAATACAACAACGTGAATCGTGAACTTGAAAGAAGAGTTGAGTAAGAGTTGAGTGAATCGTCTGCTTTCTTACCTCGATGCAGATTAGAGGAGACAAAACTTTTATCATGATGTCAGTAATTTGGTATTTTCATTATGACTCATTATTATTCAGTAATTATGACGTCATTATTCGGTAAGTATTTTTTCTTCGATATTTCGTACTCAATGTTGCTGTGGCGACACACTGCCTTTCTGTGGCAACCCTAAAGAATTCGTCTTTCACGAGGATCACGTGCCCAGATGCATCATTACGTCTAGGTCTGCTTTTCTGTTTGACAGTTAGTTGCATTTAAGATTTTGTAGAATTAGAAATGGCGTGAAAATAAATGTTGGTGTTTTTAAAAAGTGTCGGTTCAGATTTTCGAACCTATGATTTACTTGTTAAGCAACAAATTTGGCGAGCCTGCCAGGATTGATGTCGCAGGGTGACATTATCGATTTCGACACTTGATAATTTATGAAAATAAGAGAAGTACCTAGGTGCAAACATGGATGATTTAGAAACACTAAAACAGAAGCGGAAAGCAATTAGGAGTGTATTTACGAAAACAGCTAATAAGTTAGAACTAATACGATCAGATTCTCCGGATTTAGAAATTTATTTAGATCAAATTTCAGAGAAGTATAAAACTTTTACGACAATACGAATGACTCTTTTTTGGAACTTCTACAGAAAAAAAGGCTGTACTCAAGAAGAATACGAATGAAAGAGCAATTTAGTGCAGCTCAAGAATATTACGATAAATTATCTACGTTGAAAGTAAAAGCCAACAGGAAAAAGGATAAGTGTTCACAGCCTTCTACTGGTTCAACGAATAGCGGTTTCTTCATCAGGAATAGTTACAGCCGCAAAACAGAAACTGCCAGAGATTGAACTGGTGAAGTTCAATGGAAACTCCAGAAAGTGGTTGACGTTTTGGACAAGGTTTAGTAAAATACATGAAGATACTCGCATCGACAAGAGAGACAAGTTTCATTATTTACTACAATCTACGAAACCTGAGACTGCGCCAAGAGCAATAGTGGAGAGTTTTCCTGCTATGGAAGAAAATTACGAAAAAGCCGTGGAGTATCTCAAAGAATGATTTGGAAATGAAAATGTTTTAATTCAAATTTATGTTAGAGAGCTATTAAAACTGGTAATCAATGACAAACAAAATATACACCTATTAACTCTTTATGACAAGTTGTAAACTCAACTACGCGCATTGGAAACACTCGGTTTAACTAAAGATAAATTTGCAGTTGTTTTATTTCCTTTAGTGGAATCAACATTTCCTGCTGATTTAATACAAATTTGGGAAAGACAACGAGGTATGTCATCTGAAACAGCAGGTAAGAGTGATTTGGAGTCATTGATTGATTTTCTAAAAAGGG